CTCTCTCTCTCTCTCTCTCTCTCTCTCTCTCTCTCTCTCTCTCTCTCTCCCACACACACCCCAGAGTAGAATAACATTTTCTACAATACAATGAATAAATAGGTAAACAAATAAGAGAAATGAATAAATATTTATCTACTTACTTGACAGTCGGCTGAACTAACACTATAAATGTACAGCTGTAAAACTGTGGTGTTGGCTTAAGAAAATGGCTGGAAAGTAATGAACCCAGCATCTGTGGAGCCATGGATGGCTGCCGGGAATGGTACAGCTCCACGGAGCCAGCGTTGTTAGAAGCGTTTTCAGATAAGGCACGGAAGGGTGGGATGACTTTCCTTATATGCTACTGCTGTTAAAGCCAGGTACAGATGTCCCCAAAAAGAGGTAGTGCTTAGAGATTTACTAATCTGCCTGGCACTTTTGCAAGGATGCATGTTACAGAGTCTAGAGTACTGAGAAACCTTCCAGAGCTACTTCAGAAAGCACCATCCTCAGCACATCACTGTGTCCACCCAGGGTCCTCTCACACTGACCCACTCTCACATGGCCTCTTTTGGATTTGTTCTGAGTCCTTCCAGGACTGAGAAGCACTCCATGCTATTTTTATTAAAGTAATTTCCAAACTAAAGCTATTTTTCTTCGACCTGTCTGAGCTCGGAACATCTGGCTCAAGAGGATAGAAGTTAGTTACGGATAGATTTTCGGGTGCTCGGATCCTTGCCCTGTTCTGCAAATCTTCAACCATATCTAATATGCCTTCCAAGGCGTCGCCACAATCTTTCCGCCTCACTCTCTCTTTTCCCAAAGCAAAGATTGCGCCGGGTCCTTTACCTGGCTGGCCCCTGGCTTGTGAATAAGCTCCGTGCCGATCCAGCCAGTCCCTGGGTCTCCATGGCGATCCCTGGCTGCAGTGTGGAAGATGTCTCCTCACATGGTGAGTGAGACCTAGGAAATCAAATATGCAGCATGCTAATTGATTTCCAGCTCATCCATCTCCCAGAGAGTCAGGAGTGAGATGGGCGGATGCCTGCAGCAGGAGGAAAAGACACCGGTGCAGATTCTCAAAGCAAAGATGCCCTACTTCTGCCCATCACAAATCGGGACCCCTGAGATGGAAATGATCCTTTCTTTTACATTTATTTATTTGGTGTGTATGTGTGCCTGTGCGTGTAGCTACCACGCAAGTGTGAAGATGAGGGGGACAACTTGTGGGAGTGTGTTCTGTCCTTCCACGCGTGTGCCGTGTCGCAGGGCTTGACCTCAGGTTCTCAGCCATGGCAGCAAGCCCCTTTACCCACGGAGCCATATTGCCACCTCGAAGAGGCACTTTCTTTACAGCAATTCCGACCAAGGAGAGATTTTGATCAGTTACTGTCTATGAGTGAAGTGAAGGCTGTGGAGACAAACAACAGGCGCCAGCATGGTCTCCAACAGAGATTGGGAACAGAGGTCCTCCTAGTATCTGACGTCTTGGACCATAGTCAATGTTTCCATGCAATGCTGCTGGAACCAAGATTTTTACTTCCAGCATATCACAGACTTCTGCATCTGGTCTACCTCCTTCCAGAAGCCTCCCTTCCTACTCTGTGTGCTGTAGGTGCATTTTCTTGACAGTTACACACTTGTCTGGTAGCCTTCCTACAACTCTGGACCCTTGCATGGATTTGGCCTACCCCTCCAAGCAGAGTTTAAACAATTTGAGCAGTGCTGTCAAGAGCAAATTCACTCACCCTTTGCCAAACCCTGTCCCTGTCCCCAGCAATGCAGCAGTAAAGGGGAGCCTCTCCAGCCGTGCATGCAGGGAGGACAACCTGTGTGTCAATAGGGCAGGTGACCACCCTTTGGTCCAGGCCCATGCTGGTAGTGGAGCCTGGTATCTGACGAACACCTCGACTAAGACCAAGAGTGTGCCCAGGAGCGGTTCTCTTTCTTTTTTAAAAACCTCCTAAGGCTGAATCTGACCAGCCTGATTAAAAGTCAGCCAGGCAGTGTCTCCCCCAGGGATCTGCACTTCACTCGGTGACTCTTGGAGGAAACCCAGCAAGGCAAATTAATTCTATCATGTGGCCTATTCCAAGCTAATCGGCTTTCTTAACAAGGTGGTTGAAGAGGCAAACATTAAGTCTGGGGAAAGCGTCACTCCCCATGGTGAGAGATTAGAGTCCTTGGATGCCAGGTGCTGAGTCTCCTCTAGTAGCAAGTCCCCAACAGGGATGGGGTGCATGCAGGTGGAGTGGGGTGAGGGCTCATTTCTATGCTATGTCTGATCTAGGATGTCTTTGGATAGCCAAACGGCCAGCACACAGCCCCTTCTCCCAGCTTCCTTCCAGCAAGGTCACTTTTAAGATGAAACCACATGGAGGTAAGACAGCCTCTGGTGTTGGCCATCTTCAGTGATGGGGACCTGTACAGTGTCTGGCTGTTCAGGCCACAGATCCCATTCATTCCTCCTCAGGTTCAAGTCTTCCCTCATCACAGCCAACTCACTGTGACCACGTTCCTGAGGTCTAGCTTGGCCATGCAGGAAAGCCAAGAGTACCTGATGATTACTGGGACCCACCCAGGAAGTATGTGTTTGTATGTTGTTGGTAGCTATAAGCCAAGTCCCAAAGCTTTACAACACAAGTGGCTAGTGACTCCAATGTCCTTAACTTGCACGTGTGTGACTGTTTTTTTTTTTTTTAGAGTTGAATATCAGGCTTCTCCATCTATCTGAGTCATGTGATATTATGTGATGTTTGGGATCTTCGGGGTACAGAGGAATCATTCTTGTATCATCTCCCAACGTGATCGCAAACACAACAAACCACACACCGTTGATTGGCAGCTTACGGTGTATCAGCTGCAATCAGTTTACCACGGATCTGTGCAATGATGCTGGGAGAGAGAGGGGAAATGAAAGTTCAGAGGGCTTAAGTAACTTCCCTGGGGTCACAAGGCCAAATGGAAAAGGGGCAGTTCTGATGTCCTTCCACCCCGTTTCAAAGGCTGCCCCCATCACATCCGTGGATCTGCCCTGTGTGTTTCAACTGACAATGTAAATGCAAACAAAGTTGAATAGAACACGGCTGAGGGTGAATTCCTGCAGCATGCTGTCAGAGACACGGCTCTGATTCGCCTGGCTGCCTTCCACGGGTAGAGCTCAATTTTCAAACCGCTGGATACGAGTGTCCCTTTGTACCCTTGAGAGTCAACTCACGTCTTAGCAGTGTACCCGGAACAGGCACTGCCAGGGGCCCTGCTGCTGTACTGAAGCTGCTGAGGTTGCCCTTTTGACATTCTGCAGACAGTCAAGGCAGGAGGTAGATCCCATGGTGCCTTGGTCAGTCAGGGGCAAAGCATGTCTTTCTCGGGTCCTTGGATCTAAGAAGTTAGCATTCTCTGGGAGGTGGGTAGCGCCATTAGCTTTGTCAGAGCGTGTGTGTCTGGAAGATCCAGAGGCAGCTCTAAGGACAGAAGTGTTCTGACTTGCCATTCGCTCTACCAGAGTTAGACTCCATGCAGCCCAGCCAGTATTTCTACTCAGTCTCTCATCTGTTCGTTGTCTAGTACCAGACTTCCTGGCATATTTAGCAAAAGAACTAAAATTATGATATGTGAGGTGGGCAAGGCAGAACTGTGAGACACTGCGTATAGATTGTCTCGCAGCTGCATTCAGGGTAGGTGGCAGGGTGAACGGTCAGGAGGCAGGGTTTAATTTCTTATTTCAGCACCTGTCCAGTGGGTAACCTGAGGGCTGGTCACTCATCCTCTCATAACTTAAGTGTTCTGATCCTCATAAAGAAAGAAAAATGTGCAACCCCATGCTGATTTAAGTATTGCTCCAATACTCCAGCCCTGATGGGCACACGTAATCCCCAAAGGGCAAGGAGAACCTTCTACGATATGAATGCAGGGGATCAAAGGAGGGCTTTTCTTCCTGTTGTGTCTCCTGTCCTGCTTCATGAAATTCTGCTCCTGATTATGTCTTGCATTGGCCTCTAACCTTGGGAAATATCTGGGAACATTTGTATAGCAAATCTAATTATAGCCCACACCCTCCAAAGATGCTCAGCTCAACAAGGGACACACACACACACACACACACACACACACACACACCCCATGGTGGTCTTTTCAGATTACAATGGACTGAGGAATTCCCACCAACTAACAACACACAGTCTGTGGCCACACCACTGTGACATTCCCTGACAACAGACTTCCAGGAAGGTATTCTTATTGTCAACTGCATGATTGTCATTACTTCTCAGAGAACCTTATCTTAGCAAGCACATTGAAGAGAGACGGACAGAGAACAGAGAAACTGAGAATCTGAGGTGACTTTTGAGCCCCCAGGAAGACACAGGTGCTGATGAGGCTAAACGAGGTAGTTGGTGAAATGCTACGGATCTAGAACCTTCCAAGAAACTGAGTGGCAGGAGACAGAGGGTGGCCAGGGAACGGACTGATAGCAGCTCTGGCAACAACTTCAGGTGCCATGCTGTCTTCCAAGCACAAACTGTTACTGGACTTTAATAGGGTCAGGTTAGACCCTGGCATCTCCGACAAGCCACCCTCAGTCAGCTGCCCTAAATAAGCTAATTACTATTTAAAGAGACAATTTAATAGCAAAAAAAGATTTATTTAATATCGCCACACTGGGAAGAGGGATAAAGGGGTCCAAATTACTCCGCAAGTCTATCTTTGGGGTCCTAGAGTGAAGTTTACATAGAAGGCTTGATGCATAGAAAGGTATGCATTTCGGTCATGCCATGGTCCTGACTGCGGTTGTCCCCCCATCTTTGCCTGGGCTCCAGTGTCTCCAACAAGGTGGCCTGCTGAATTGTCGACCACCTGTAAATCTGTTCTGAGGAGATCAGTTCCCCTCTGGCTGCTGGTACCAGGTTTCAGTCTCTTCCTTCTCCCAGTGTGAGAGGCTCTCTGATGTCAACAAGGACAATGACAACCAGTACAATACACTGAAACGACTTAAAACACGAGAGACGTTCCCAGTTGTGACGTTTCCAGTTGTGACACTCAATCTCCAAAGCGGTGTGTAGAGGAAAGCCAGTGTTGGGAAGGTTTCCGATGTCACCTGTCACTGAGTGAGGGCAGAGGTGCCATAAACATCAGAGCTAGTAACTGACTTTGTGCTCTGTGTAACATCTTGTCTTACTCAGGTGACATGGGGACAGGAGAGCAAACACACATGACCTTCTGGCACAAGGCTAGAGAACATGACACTCTTCTTTTCCTCTTCTCAAGCCCCGAGGACTCCAAATGACTCCAGTGCTACTAGGCACATGTGACCAGGGACTGGAAGTCAGTGCATTTTTAAGTCTTTGGTCCTTGAGAAGCACGGTGAAAATGGTTTTCTTTGGTGATAATGCTTTGGGTTCTGCACAGACAGCAGCATGAAGAAAGCCTCTTTTCTGTAAGACACAGACCTCTGTGCCCCAAAGCTCTCTCAAAATAGCTACACCAGGAAACGGTTCGGGATTTGGGGTGCCCTCAGACCTCATTGTATTTCTCTGTAGCACATTCTGAAGTCTTTTGCTAGTGCAGTATCTTAAAAAATATGCTGGATGGCTCCTAGATGATTGAGTCAAACAACTAAGTAGAAAAGAAAAATCCAGGGCTGGAGAGATGGCTCAGAGGTTAAGAGCATTGCCTGCTCTTCCAAAGGTCCTGAGTTCAATTCCCAGCAACCACATGGTGGCTCACAACCATCTGTAATGGGGTCTGGTGCCCTCTTCTGGCCTGCAGCATACACACAGACAGAATATTGTATACATAATAAATAAATAAATAAATAAATAAATAAATATTTTTTTTTTTTAAAAAAAAGAAAAGTTCAAGACTTTTGGGAGTCATGTTTTCTCATGGCGGTGAGGTTGGCCTTGAACTTATATTTGCACTTCTCTGGTTTCCAGTACCGAGGCTGTAGGCATGTGCCACCAAGC